GTTGGCGAATGCCACACGGAGGTCCTGGGAGGTACTGCGGGACGTGCCTGGAGGTTGAACAACCGGTTGATACGGGTTCGTGCACCCTCCTTGATCACCCGAAAATTTACAATTTTTAAGTCAGTCTCACCTTCCTCCGTACGGCGTTTAAGCTCAATGACCGCGGTCATTAAACGATCCCTGTCTTCGGGTTCCAAGTCTCGGCGGATGTGAACTTGAACGGCTTTCAGCCTTGACAAACGAGACAGCATGAGTTGCGGCATATTGGGATTTGCACAGGTGATTCTCAGAGGTCGACATGACTGGTTAGTTTTCTGGCCAAGTCGGATTACTTGTTTAATCGTCACTGTCTTCGCCCACATCCAAGAGTATGGATGAGCCCCTGGAGGTACTCAACATCGTGATCATAACGTATCTGAGGGTTTTCATCTTTTGACTCTGGTACGTGGAAGACCATGAGATTATGACGCCTCAGCGAAATAAGTGATGAACCTGTGGGAGCAGAACTAGAGGGGCTTTACTGATTGGATTGTTGTTTACCAGCAGGTGACGTCTGAACTCGATTTCGTGGGCCCTTGCGCTTTTGAGTGGTCCATGGATCCTCGGCGTCCAGAACTTCACAGATAGCCTCTGAGAAATTCACGGACCGATCAGTGAAGCAGCATTTCGTAGCTTCCGAGTCTGAGTCTTCCATCGGTGGGGAACATTGAACCTGGGACTCGGCCGGGGTCGAAGACGCTGGTGGTGGTGCAGATTGCGGAGTGACAGTAAAAGGCGAGGGGACAGAGGTACTTTGACGAGGGCGTTTGATCCCACGTGGTGAACGTTTTGTTTCTATCTGAAAGAGAGATTTTCCCGTAGTTGTTTGCGGTCTTTGCGTATTCTGATGTCTTGTACCGCGACATTTATCACATAAAATTTGAAAGAAACGATGTCAGATGTCGAGCGATTTTTGAAACACGTCAATGGATAATCCAGTGCATGAAATATGGAACAAAACATCACAGCCGAAGCACCGCAGTGCATGAGCCTTATTTCCCACAACTTTCCAACACGAACCACAAGTAGCTTGAGACGGCATCACAAGCTAGAGCAAATCCAAGATGGCGGACACAGGCGGCAGTAGAGTAAATCAGTGAGGTCTCCGGAAGTAGTCAAAGAATAGTCTCCAAATTTCCACCGCTTGGAAAATACGCCAAAAGAAGAATATTGGTGCACAATTTACACAGCTAAAACGCTGTTAACACAGTAATCCGAGACAAACGTAGTATCCAGCACGCGCTGATCCAAAAATCCGCGACGCCCGTGGGTACAGCCAAGTCCAGATTGGACCAACGACCTTACTCTTCCAAGTCAGCGACTTATGTCACTGAGCCATGGGCGACGGCAGCGGACCGCCATGGCTGATATATGCCTGCGATATAGCGCGGCACTTCCCCCACTGTCTTACATGTTAGGAATGTGCAGGGGACATGGCTGGCCCCCAGGACAACGACTTCCTTTGCAAGCCAACACCACTCGCGGGGGCATGTAAGCTGCAAGGTGACTACTGATTATTTGTAATCAGTAGGTGGGGTTTATTAAATTTTTTGTAGGTTCGTCGCAGATAGACCCGGGCTTACAGGCACCACACATCCAGGAAAGCGCTAGACGGTCCTTTAGTCCTATTTGGACTCGTAACTTTTGAGCACGCTCCACATTCGTACCCACGACGTTACTCTTGCGAGTCAGCGACTTATGTCATTGAGCCAATCTCGACCGCAGCGGACCACCATGGCTGATATTTAACTGCGATATAGCGCGGCTCATCCTCCACTGTTTTGCATGATATGCTAGTGCAGGTGACACGCCCGGCCTTCAGAGCGACGTCTTTCTTTGCACGTCGCCACCAATCGACGTGGTATGTAAGCTGCTAAGACGACTACTGATTATTTGTATATGGTGGGGGGAACTATCAGTTTTTATTTGCGTTCGTCGAAGTTTCACACAAAACAACACCCGCCACACATCAAGGAATGCACTAGTCAGCGGTTTCGTCGTATTGGGACTCGTCAGTTGCGCGCATCTGCCGTATCCTGCCTGTGTCGTATCCACGACCTTACTTTTGCGAGGCAGCGACTTACGTCACTGAGCCATGGACGACGCAGCGCACCGCCATGGCTGATATGTTACTGCGATATAGCGCGGATCATCCTCCACTGTCTTGCATGTATTGAATGTGCAGAGGACAGGGTTGGCTCCCAGGGCAACGAGTATCTTTGCAAGCCGCCTCGAATGGAGTTGGCATGTAAGCTGCTTTTGCGACTACTGATTATTTGTAAGCAGTAGGGTGATTTATTAGGTTTTGTGTATGTTAGGCACAGATAGACACGGGCCGACAACCACCACACATCCAGGAAACGCTAGACGATGTTTTAATCCTACTTAGACTCGTCATTTTTGCGCACGTTTCAGATTCGTACCCACGACCTTACTCTTGCGAGTCAGCGCCTTAAATCACTGGGCCATGGGCGACGGCAGCGGACTGCCATGGCCGATGTCTAACTGCGATATGGCGGGGCTCATCCTCCACTGTCTTGCATGTTATGAATGTGCAGCGCACGTGGCTGGCCTCCAGGGCCACGACTTACTATGCACGTCGCCACCAATCGAAGTGACATCTAAGCTGTTAAGACGACTACTGATTATTTGTAAACAGTGGGGGGACCTGTGAAAAGTCGGTCCTTCAGGGACAAAACGTATATTCTGCAAACAAAAGGGCCAGGCGAAAACGCAGGCAGAGGGCGAGTAAAACATATCGGTATATACAGCTAGTTGGATCCATAATTAACGACCTTTGCGAATGCATGACATTTTTCCTTTGATTCAGTCAAACAAACTCACTCCAATGCGTCCAACTGTTGGCCAATCAGCGTGCATGAGAGAAACGTGTGAACGTCCAATCGGTTGCCGCCTTTGCTTGCGGCAGCCTAACGGCTTCCTTGCTGGGCTGGCACCGCACGTTCGTTCGAGTGTATACTCCCATCACAGGACCTATCAGTTTTTATTTGCGTCCGTCGAAGTTTCACACAAAACAACACCCGCAACACATCCAGGAATGCCCTAGACAGCGGTTTCGTCGTATTGTGACTCGTCAGTAGCGCGCACCCGCGGAATCCTGCCTGATTCGAATCTACGACCTTACTTTTGCAAGTCGGCGACTTACGTCACTGAGCCATGGACGACGCAGCGCACCGCCATGGCTGATATGTTACTGCGATATAGCGCGGACCATCCTTCACTCTCTTGCATGTTATGAATGGGCAGAGGATACGGCTGTCCTCCAGAGCAACGGCTTCCTTTGCAAGCCGTCACCAATCGAGGTGGCATGTAAGCTGTTAAGGCGACTACTGATTATATGTAAGCAGTAGGGTGGCTTATTGGTTTTATTTACGTTCATCGAAATTTCACACAAAGCTACACCGGCCACACTTCCGCGAAAGCGCTAGACGGCCGTTTCGGTGTATTGCGTCTCTTCAGTTGCACGCACTCCTGCGGAATCCTGCCGGATTCGAACCCGCGACTTTACTCTTGCGAGTCAGCGACTTATGTCACACAGCCATGGGCGACGGCAGCGGACCGCCATTACTGATGTGTAACTGCGATATTGCGCGGCTCATCCTGCACTGTCTTACATGTTACGATTATGCAGAGGACATGGCTGGCCTTCAGAGGAACGACTTCCTTTGCAAGCCACCACCAATCGAGGTGGCATGTAACCTAAGTCGACTACTGATTATTTGTAGGCAGTATGGTGATTTATTAGGTTTGTTTTAGGTTCGTCGTTGTTAGACACGGGCTGACAGCCACCACACATCGAGGAAAGTGCTAGACGGCCGTTTCGTCCTATTGTGACTCGTCAGTAGCGCGCACCCGCCGAAGCCTGCCTGCTTCGAAATCACGACGTTACTCTTGCGAGTCAGCGACTTTTGTCACTGGGCCATGGGCGACGGCAGCGGACCGCCATGACTGATATGTAACTGCGACATGGTGCTGCTCATCCTTCACGATCTTACATGTTATTAATTTGCAGAGGACAGGGCTGGCCTGCAGAGCAACGACTTTCTTTGCTAGCCGAATTCCAATAGGACGAAACGGATGTCTGGCGCTTTCCTGGATATGTGGTGGCTGTTGGCCTGTGTCTCTCTGTGACAAACCTACTCAGAACCTAATATATACTCCTACTGCTTAGAAATAATCAGTAGTCGGCTTGGCAGCTTACATGCCACCTCGATTGGTGGCGGCTTGCGAAGGAAGTCGTTGTTCTGGGGGAAAGCCCTGTCTTCTGCACATTCATAACATGTAGGACGGTGGAGGATGATCCGCGCTAATTCGCAGTTAGATATGAACCGTGGCGGTCCGCCTCCGTCGCTCATTGCTGCGTGACATAAGTCGCTGACTCGCAAGAGTAGGGTCGTTTGTTTAAATTCGGCAGGATTCGGTGGGTGCGCGCTACTGACAAGTCCCAATAGGACGAACCGGCCGCCTGGCGCTTTCCTGGATGTGTGGTTGTTGTCTACTTGTGTTTAACTGCGACGAGCTTACACGAAAACAAATATTAACTGCCTTTTCATTGAACTTGCGCGTTAACCCACTAGACCCCCTAACGGGACTTGGAACAGTGTTTCTTTTCTCTTATGAAGCCATTGCCCATCTGTGCGCAGTTTTCTATACTTCCCATAACTCAATGAACACAGAATAATTGTTGTGTTTCTAACACTAGTAAACATAGTGACCCTAACCGAGAGAATTCGATTCGTGAGATGAAATCAATGCGAAAAATGAGTAACGACTTTTCAGTTGCTTCGATTAGTTTGTGCATTGACCTCGTCTTTGCACTTTTTCGGTGTCTCGATTTCCGTTAGTTTTTCCACGACCGCTCATTTTCAGTCACATTATATAGAGTGGTGCGTTTTGCTTTGTTTATATTTAATTTTTTCCTCTCGTTCTCCTTTATATAGGCCCCATATCTCATATATTTGGAAGTTCTATCATGTGTTGACCCTTGGACCGAACCCCTTCCTTCAAAGCCTATCATAAATACTTCTGGTCAATCCATGAACTCTTCCACCCCGACCGGAGCTACATCATTCACTTCGTTGTCCGGTTGTCCGTGGAACTCCAACACGGTAAGTGTGATTATTTATTTTGGTCCCTCAATCTTGGTGGCCACGATTTTTACGTTCCATTTTCGAGCTCTTCTTCGCGTTGCCACACGTTTGTATTACTTTGTTGGCTCTGTTTTGTACTAGATGTTTCTTTCACTTGTGTGCAATACTTTGGCCTTTTAACGGGCAGTAATCTTGGCGCGACCGCGCCTCCTCTGTTTCCCTCATACGCCCTAATTCATTGGTGTGCTCACCTCCTTACATATATCGCTACACCCGAATTTCTTTTGCATTTCCTTTACACGATTATTGTTACTGCAATATTACTGTTCTTAGAGCAAGATCTAATAAACTCTCACGTCTGTGCAGTTTTTTGTAATCCATATGTTCTTAACTAGTATTGAATTCCTCTATTACTTAACCGTAGTCACACAATTCACCATTTTGGGCCAAGTTGTTTGGGATGACTGAGTGCATTTTGCATCATCTCTGGTATGCAATGTAACCGATCATTTTGGTATTTATAGCTGCCGGTCATTGATTGTCGAATTCTTATGCGACTTAACTTCTTGCTCGTATACCAATTCGTGCATCTGTATTTTGTCACACCCTCATGCACTATCAACTGATATGACGCGTCATTTATTCTGTAAAAAGCCAAGACTTCAGCGGCCATTTCTATGCTTCACATCAGCATCCTAGCTTTTACTATTTGCTTTCTAACGTCAAACTATCGGAACGCGCGGATGTCCACCGGTACATCACCACCGCTCTAATCCGTTATCTCTGATTTTGCTCTGTGATGTGTACAACCGCAACGATACTGAACGTTAACGTGGTGCGACGGCTCGCGTACCTCTTCGGTTATTTGAACTTGACTGCTTGGTGCCCCGGGTCCTCTTGAAAACTACTCCTACCACCTTATTCAGTGTTTATAGATCAGACAGACTCGATCTCATGGTCCTCCAATTTGGGGGTTGGAAATGAGATGGTGTCCATTTCATTAAGACTAGATTTTTGACATCCCTTTGCCTTGCGGACAGGCTTTTGAGCCAAAAGCTTTGGCTGAGGGCCCTTGTCGTTCTCATGTCGAGGTTTGGGCGCCTTGGTAGTACCTCAACCCACGTACAACCATTACTATTCCATCAAACTTCAACGTCCTCCTGCATCGGACGTCGCGCAGTTTTAGAGGTATCGCATTATCTGCTGCATACAGCATGACGGATACGCGAGAAACGTGCTACTGTTGATGCCTCCCACCTGTTTCTCTCATTCCCCTCTTTACCCCACATCGTTGAATTTCCTTCTACAGCTCTTCCCTTAATTTACAACAACCCTGATTCCACTGGAGCTATAACACCTGCAACTATCTTCACCCACCATCCACTGGACTCCTATCGGCAACGGCCCTTTCTCAAGCTATGCTGTCTCGTTCCCCAGGAATGTTCAACGTTCACACTCTAAGAGAAATGAGTCAACAGGTTGCTTTCGCACACACGTTGAATATTCTGGGTATTGACGTGTGTTGCGTGTCCAGAACTAGAAACAGTGACCCCCGCGCGGTTATCAAACTGGCAGCGCTCAACTTGTCCTCATGCTTTTGGTTAAACGTATCCGGAGACGCTGACACGGCATCCACTGATCAACTTGGGGTAGGCATCTTTTTCATCTCCAAGGCAGAGTCATCGTCAGTTGATTAGATTCCCGTGAGCAGTTATTTGTGTGCAGCCCGTTTGATGACCAACTAACCTTGATTCACCAAGTAGCACTGGACGTTATTTGTTTGTGTTTGTCACTTATGCTCCACAGACTTCAGTCTTGATGCTACCAAGGACACATTCTACCACGAACGGAACACGCTGCGTCGCCGTGCTACTACCCGAGATATTTTTGTTGTTGCTGGCGATATAAGTGCTCATGTTGGTCGTTTAGAATCTTCAGAAGCGAACGTCCATGCAAGAGGCACCGGCTATTTCTTAGCTGCATCGCTTCATGCACAGTGGGCACCGAAGTGCCGTTTGGTGCCCTGGGTGACGGCGGCAGACCGTCATAACTGATATCTAGCTACGATATAGCGCAGCTTAACCTTCGCTGTCATACATGTCCTGCACACGCAGCTGACAGGGCCGGCCTCAAGAGAAATCGCTTCCTTTGAAAGCCGTCACCAATCGTGGTGGCGTGTAATGTGCCAACGCGATTATTGGTAATCAGTGAGTAGTAGTGGGGGTTATTGTTTTTGAGAGGATTCGCCGCAGATGACTCAGTGTGACTCGTCAGTGGCATAAGTCACTCGCTCGTAAAAGTAAGATCGTGGGTTCCAATCCGGCAGGATGGAGTGGATGCGCCCTTCTGGCGAGCCCCAGTAGGACCTAGCGGTTGTCTAACGCTTTCCTGTGTGGTGGCTGTTTTGTTGGGTCTAGCTGCGATGAATCTACTCGAATACGCACTAATTCTCCTTACCACTCACTAATAAACGGTAATCGCCTCAGCAGCTTTCATGCCACCTCGATCGGTAGCGGCTTACAACGGAAGTTGTGGCTGTGAAGCCAACCCTGTCCTTTACACGTTCATAACATACATGACAGTGAAGGCTGAGCCGCGCTACATTGCAATTGGATATCAGTCATGGCGGTCCCTTGCTGTTGCCTGTGATCATTGACATAAGTTGCTGACCCGAATACTGTAGGATTCGACGCATGCGCACCACTGAGTAGTCCTACGTGGACGGAACTGTCATCTAACGCTTTCTTGGAGGTGTAGTGTTTGTTTGGTTTGGTGTAGCTGCAATGAATCTCTTCAAATCCTTGAACCTGGGGTGTCTTCAAGTCCTTGATCATCGCTGCCTGCGAAACATTGCTGGTGCCGGATGGCACCAACCAGTCTAATTTCTCGGAACAACAGATAGAACTAAATCGGTTGCGTTAGCTTGAACACTTACTACGCATACCTGGTCACCCGTTACCGACGAAAGCCTTGCTTCCTTTGCCAGATGTAGAGTGGCACAAAGCTCGAGGATGGAGAAAGTTAAGTTGATAATAGGAAATAAGCTCACTGGTAACTAAACTGGATACGGTCTGTCCGTATCCTTTTCTAGGTTGGATTGTACGTGAACCATCTTGTGCTTTGTTCAGAACGTTACTAGACATGGTTCACATTAGGTACCAGTGACACATCAGCTGTCTTACTGCCTGTTTCATGTGAACGGTAGTGAAAGCCACGGGGACGCTGTCTTGCAGATGCGCATTGGCACGACGGCAAACTGTTTATGCTCTCATGTTCTTGACAAAGTGTAGTCCCCTTGACCTGTTTTAAGGGTGCTAAATTTTATGCGCGATTCCTCATTCTTTTCCCCGTGTTAGTCTTCGTCCCCTAAGTCATTGGGGTTTTACCGTAACGATGCATCAGTTCAAATGTCTGATATACTGCTATTGTTGATAGTTGTGTGTACTCGCCGGCTCGGTGTGTGTGCCCTTAGTTGTTTCATTACTTTTTGATCCTCCATGTTTTGTGTGAATCTTTGTGTATCTGAGAGTGAAATTAAAAAACGGGCTAGAATTAGTTACTTTGGCCACAGCTGCCTTTGCCCGATCACCATTTGTGAAAGGTAGTGTACATTAAAGTTTTTTGATTTAACGTCAGGTTACCATGACTACCTCGTTAGTTTTCAATATTTTTTCTTATTTGTATGGATGAGTGTAATTATGTGGCCGTTACCACCCACAGTTACTTATTAGTAGGAAAGCTCTAACTTCAAGATCTGCATCGAAGAGTAAATTCGGAACTATATGCTGGTTTTTTGCAGTTCGTAGCTCTTTCAGTGTGAATATTGGTGAATCGTTAACCATTTGGAAGGTCGATCATGATATGAAATTAGTCATATGAAATTAGTCATCTTAAAACAATGATAATAATAGTTGTAAGTATATTTCTCTACCTGCGAGAAACGTCATTAATTGACACAGATTGTTTTGTTGGAGCTGATGTTGCTCTCCTTGATTAAATCTTTATAAGCAGTCGCTTTGATGCGATGTAGCTCCATGGCTGTTACTAAGTTAACAGACGTCGCGCCGATACGCGTGCTCTTTCCGTGATCTGTGCCTACCTGCTCACTGACTGCAGCTCGGAAACTTTTAAGAACCAATTCTATCAGCACTTTAATTAGCTGCTTCTAGTGGTGCTCTAAACACACATCGATATAGCAGGAGACTTCAATTCACGTATCGGTCAGTTGCCGTCATGCGAACGCTACCTCGGAGGACCGCATAAATAGGATTTTCGCTCAGACAACGGAAAGAGACTGTTCAGTCGATGTGCGGTCAGCATCTTTTCATCTCCAGCACGAAGTTCCGTCACCCTGGACGCAACTATGCCATCTGGCGTCCTATATCGTCAACTCAGCACTGGTCACCAATTGCTCACATAGCCATAAGCCGCATGTAACACGGTGGTGTTTACGATTGCTGATCACTTTGGTCGACCTGCGTTGAAACCGCCCATCCATTGGTGTGTGCGACAGTTTGTATGCGCTTCGCTGGCTCAGCTAAGGTCAAACAAACCCCACTGAACACCTACAAGTTGTATGACCCGAGGGTGAAAACGGAGGATCAACAGAGTCTTCGAGAAAACCTCACTCTCTCATTCCACCCGCCGGTTTTCAAATTGCATCCTCTCCCGCTTCATAGAAAAAGCTGTATCTCGGTAATACATTCGGAGCTGCTGGGTCGTTGCGGGATGTGCTCACCAGTGCAGAGCACAATGAACTCCGTCGTTCTTTCTCTCGATGGCTGAAATCAAGCCTTTGCTATGACAGTATATAGTATGTACGGCTCGAAAATCACCGACCTGCACATGTGCTTGTGTAACTGGGTAGATCACCTTGCTCTTCAGTCTATATACTCAACACAGCGCCCTGTGTTGTTTGAAAGCTCCCGATCGAAATTTCCTTTACGTATCCGTAGTTCCTTTACTTTTGCACGCCTTTCTATATGCTGTTTGACGTAACATTAAACGTTCAATTTGTGTCTGTAAATATCCCCTTTTGATTTGATGAGTGAGGCAGCTGCACTACACGGTGCTGGTAATCCTAGTCTTTCCATTGGGCAGCTGCTGCACCTCTTCATTTGCGTTTTCAGCACGGATACATAGCTCTTAATTAAATGTGTATTCAGCGATGGTACTCTTCTTTTTTTGTTACGTCTACACCCGTATAACTCCATACTTTATCTAAAACCTTTTTAACTTTTTTACCAGCCTTCTTCCGCTAGTGAAAGCGGCTTGCATCCTCTTGATGCAATGAGTTTGTCATCCGATGACTCAGTGAATATCTTGAAAGGATCCATTGGGTGTTTGGAAAGACCGTTGGCGTTCGAGTCCTTGTTGCCACTCCCGAACGGTGAAATCACTTCGGCTGCGTCTACGACGGCTGACCTGTCTTCACCACCAAATCCTCCTGTGTACATTAGTGCCAGTCAAATCCGCAGTCGACTTAAGGATCAATCGGAACGCCACCCAAACTACTCTTTCATCGTAGGTTTCCGTTCCTGGAGTTTTTCTCAAATCGCACTATATTCACTCAGCTTTTTATGATTACAAGCCCACTCTAGCCATGCGACGCGAACACCTGATCAACTTTATATTGTGAACGTTTCGTACTTCTTCACGGTTGTCACGTTATATCGAGTACGTTTGTTTACCCACTCCCTGATTCCCTTGCGCCGCTATGAGGCAAGTTCACCTCTGCTAACAATGCTCCCGCTTTATACCCTTATGCTTCATCCAGTTGTCTCGCCTATATGATCTGATCTAATTGCCAACTGGTGTCCTGTGTACCATAACAGTTTCGCTACATTACATCAGTTTGAGGCGTGACCTTATGCTTCTGTATGACATGCTTCCTCAAAATACTCACCTCTATTTGCCTTCCCTAGAACTACATCATAGTTGTCGAACCTACGCAATAAGGAATTTACGCTGAGTGTACCCAGGTGCAGGTTAAATCTGCGTTCCAACTTTTTCCTTATCAGATATGCTGTCCTGTGAAATAAGCTTCTAGTCACAATCAGATCGTGTGAGAGTGCAACGGCATTTCACCTTGAGCTCGCTAATTTCCTAGACTTGAACACGAGTATGACTCTCTTCGCTTGGGAGAGATCACTTGGTGATTTGTTCCAAGAAGGGTCAGACAACATCTCATGGGTGAAACAAAGCAGAACATTCACGCAATACGATATACCCCAAGTGCTGTTACTATCCACTAATCCAACTAGTGCACATTGCGTTGAAATACACCTGTGAGTAAATACACACCATTGAAACAGCAAAAACAATGAAAACCACTCAGCTGTTTACCACTCATGCATAAGCATGACATACTTTATAAAATGTGATCTATGCCATATATGGACACCGTTTCTCACTCGATGAGAAATCTACCTATTATTAATGTTTCTTTGGAAAGGCGTATACAAACTTCATAATTGAGATGTGTACTGGCCGTATTTTCAGCTATCAGCAATATGACGCTCGGTGGCTTTCTGTTGGGGTACTTATTTGTCGGCTCTTTTAATTCTAATCGACTGTTAACCAAATCTGCTGCCAAGTTCTCTTCTCCAGATGCAACCTGGGTCTGTTTTGACTTTATACGTGTGCCACAGCATTTGGTTGCTCTTATTCTTATTCTTCGGTACCCTCAGTACTCAGAGTTTACTGTGTACTTTTAGAGTTCCTGAGTATTCTTCCTGAATCCGCTTACATAGTGAAGGCAATTCACATTTCAAATGGTATATGTTGTATCTGCTTTCAAGACTGTAGGATTCCCTGCCTCAACTCGAGCACAGCTAAGTAGCAGCCTTTGGGTATGAAATCTTTATATATCTGGATCTACATTTTCTTATCATGTGCATAACACGCTCCGTTTATGTAAAATAGTTTAAATATAGGCTGTACATCGCGCTTTGCCTTTTAGCCATCACGTAAATATTGGCTAACTAGAAACGTTCTCAAGTGGATCAATGGTTCCCTTCCCACACCTTACGTGGTCACACTCGGTTCTCCAATGGCTAGTCCGGTTTTGTGCAGAATCTACAATTTTTTCGTTCTGTCAAGCACTTCTGTTATCGGAATAAGTTTGTCTTTGGTGGCTCTCCAATTAACTAACCATTATTACTTCCTTTTTACTGTTCAGCTCTCACACGTTAAATTGACATATATCCATATTTTTACCTCAATCGGGGTCCGATATCCTATCTACATAGATTGGTAACACTCCGCTTAGGCTTGACCTAATTCACTTTGCTCTCCTAGATAAAAGATCTTCATCCGCGTAGAACTCGTTGAAGTCGCCCCACATTTTTTTCTTGGAGTTTGTAGTCTCTTTCAACCATCTTCCTATCCATCATATATGCAGTCCGATCCGGAGGACCCCAGTGCTGCGGTTTTGAAAGAGCCTTGGCGCATGAAATGTCAACGCATTCGAGAATTATCACCCTGGGGCAGTCTTCCTGGATGGCGACTGAATGCTGCCATTATTAAAGTTGGTGACGATTTGCGTCAAGAACAGTTGGCCTACCAACTGCTCAGTGTGCTACAAGTCAGTCTGACCTTGCGCACTTTCTTGTTTGTGTCTCATTACGTCTTTACCAGTCCACCTTCGACCTAACTGCTGTTTTTTATTCGTTGTTTTCGTTAATGCGGAAAATTGCTTAATGGGAACCGAAGCTATCCGGTGTTAACTGAACGGCTCGGTTCATTGACGGTAGATGCCATTGACCTCTTTTGTTTCTAGAGCAATACTCCTTTGTGGTAGTAAATGTTAGGATGTATTTATTTTAAGCTACCTGTTCTATGTCACAAGAACGGCCGTGTCCGCATCGATGCACTCTTTAGAGTTACATTTCTTACGTTCCATCACTATTTATTTCGGATATATAATGTATCCAAAAAGCAAAACCTAATAACAACGGAACGCATATGCCACATAGTTTTTTATCAGATCCTGCACAATGAAAGAGCCACTAAGATCGATTCTTGGGTATTTCCCCCTTATGTGTTATACCATTTCAACATGTGATCTACTTCAGCTCACCCAGAAGTTGGATATTACCTTGGCCCATTACCACATTGTTTTTGATCTTGTGTACTTTCAGAGCACTCACCACTAACGGCTCATACATCCCGTTTCCTTAAGCATAACCATGGCATTGTGAACCAAGTTGCATAAAACTGGTCAGTCTAGGCGCTGTCGAGTCAACTTTGCTCGTTGTATACAATCTGGCCCGATGCACCTTCGGCACCATTTGCCCGTGCACCAATTCAGTCCAGAAATCGGTGATAACGGTGAATACGTATATTAACATAAACAGCATAAAACTGATATGTCCGTCAACAAAGATGGTGCTCAACGTGCCCGCCGACGTTCTACTTGCAGTGCGGAAATTGCCTGCGGCAATAGACTATAACTTTCTGTAAAGTTTTCCTGTTGATGGCACGACATTCGTTGACACTACTGCCTTTCGGTTGTTCCAGTGAAATAGGCGTTGTCTTGTAAACTCTTCTTTTCAAATAACCCTATAGGAAGAAATGTAAGAGGTTCAGATCTGGTGACCGAGCAGGCCAATCTTTTTTACCTCCAAGACCGATCCACTGGTGACTGAACACGTTATCATAATCCCGCACCGTTTGTACATAATGGGCAGGTGCGTCATATTGAAGCTATAACGGCTGAAGCGAAGTGCCGAAGTCGCCAACGAGAATTGGTGGTGAAAACATCTCTATCTTGTAGCTCCTATGTTACTTGCCAGCGACGGTTCCCTTACTATGTGAGAACATGATTGACAGATGTATGGCGGTAATCATATTTGATTTAATTGACAAACACGAGGTTAACGTTATATCTGCAACCGAAGTACGTGACCTTGGTTTGCAAGAAGCGCCTAACGTAGCCTACTGAGCTTCAATAGCTTCGTCAACCTCCGCCAACTTTACTGCTCAATGAGGCTGGTTAACGCGCGATACGGGCATCGACTAGTTGAGAAATTTGACAAAACGGAGGGTGAGCGATGCAAAGCCAACTGGGCGGCCTCGTATCGCCACGGATGATGTGTCCGCTTGCGCTTTTATAGATGTGGAAGTCCGAAATGGTGATCTAAGCGTTCGGAGTATGCGCAGCATTATGCCACCACACGATCTTCTGTGCAACGTATATTGAAAGAACGGATTTTAACCCATGCCATTGTGAGCAGCCTCTGGAATTTTCTCAATGGTATCTGGATCTCATGGACGTGCACTCAATCAGGTTTATTGAATGAGGCACTTTTCAGTCTGCACGTAGCCGATAAGCGGCATATTTGGGCTACCAAGACAGCGCTTCTCGTGCACAACATGATGCACAGCTCATAGCATTAGCTGGGTTGGCAGACCGAAAAATTATCGAGCCATTTTTCTTTTCAAGTATGTGACGGGTAACTTGACTTTTTAACAGAATACAGACCGCGAAAACGTGGCTTATCGATCCTTTTAATCTGATAACCGGAGTTTGCAGCAATATGTGTCAGAAAACTTACCACAGGGATAACTGCCTTGTGGTGGACAGTGTGCGTGAGAACCCATATGCGTGTGCTGTGGTCGCACGATTTGTCAATCAGTTTTGCGATCAAATGAGCATCGCGCTTTGTGGAATACGTGAATATTAGTATCCGCGCGGATTAGATATTGCTTAGAAATGCAGCTTCTCATTTCCATGCTAATGGAATATTGCTTCCTCAGTGAATAGGTTGGAATGAACGCTCAACACGGTGACGGGAGAATAGGTTATGCGGCATCGAGTGGTCTTTAGGCAGCACTGCTTTTCAAGACTCCTTTCTCAGAACGTTGCATCTCATATTTGCAAGGCCTAGTTGTAAGGAATGCCTATTTTGCTAATGTGAGTTGTTGGAAGCTAACTTTCAGTCTACAAGAGCGTCATTAGCTGGGATAAGACTAACCACCTATTGCACACTCCTCGCTTAGGTCAGTTAAGCCTGTCCAAGCGCCACCACAATTCTACCGCAGTAGCCCGGTAATGATGCACTTCTGTCTTGATTTCGCACGCTTGCATTCGTTCCAACCAACCCGAAACACGATATGTATCGATCGATGAATTTGCTCTGTGGCCTGCCGTAGGTGACTTCAACTCAACCATCATCGTCCATCCGGCGTTTTCACGACGGACGAGATTGGAGGGTACACCTGTACTCAGATGCATGCATACGGCCATCACTCCGGTCGTTCACACCCATGTGACCGGTTAGGAGACATTTTGAGATAGACCAACATCTATTGTTGTACAGTTGGTAGTGTAGTGCGCATTCCTTTCACCCGGAAGCGTGACCCTTGGTCCTCGAGTAACAGAGTAAAAAGAGACAAGACTTCTGGAAGTACATGTACATGTTTGAACTTTCTAGTGTCTCTCTTAGCCAAACTCAATTAAAAATTTTGTCATTTGGCCCTGAGTTTTGAATGCCTTGTACAGAAGTTGATCAGGCTGCATTATTGATGCAGTTTGAGAGCTTACTAGCACAGGCGAAAACTAATAACCATATTTACCATAAGGCGTTGAGAACACGATGTCCGGCTTAGTAAACACTTGTCATGATTATATTAAGGCTAGATCAAACGATGGTGGTATTCGTACCAGTGAACAAAGCCGTCACTTTTAGACTTATGGTTGAACAAATACCGAATCATCTCTATGTGGATAAGGAATCTGGCGTATTTCTAATTGATAGGGCTGATTACGTCCGTGAGCTGCAACATATTCTTAGTACTGAGTGTTTATCAGAAACTAACGCTTGGGAAAGATAATACAAAGGAGTTCGAAAAACAATTGACCGGTTTGCTCCGGCGAATGTTATCAGAAAATGCAATTTCAAAAGGCTGATATATTCACACGGTCGCGTAGTGCGGTTGCACGGCTTTATTTAGATTCACAAGGTGTGCGCTCCAATTCATCCCATCTTGGACATTGTTAGTTCTCCGCAGCCTTTTTTGGTTCTGCGGATGTTTGGCAAGTTGGAACGGCTGCGCAAAACCACCTGCACTTACTGCGTGGATGCACTTTCGAGTTCATTGTAAAGATAAGGGAAGTGAATCTTAGTAATCGATTTATACCATCATTTGTCGCTCAACGTTCGTGCTTTATCAGAAACATAGGAATATCTTTGCGAACTAGTATGACGACTTCCGGATAATTTTGTGAAGGAAACGTTGTTTAGATGTACCTACATCTTCATCGGGAAAATATATCGTCATTTAATGGAGTTGCCCTGGGACCATTACTGTGATAACCCTTTCTGGTAGACATCTTTATGTCGAAATTAGAGTGTAGCTCACTAAGATCGCCCATCAGTGCAGTCGAGATGTATGTACGTTCTGTGGATGACACCCTCTGCAAATCGAAAGCGCAGACTGTGAAGCTGTTATGAACATTTAGTGACGCGTCTCAGAATCTACAATTCGCTTGTGAGCACGAGTCCGGAAACCGATTACCCTTTTTGCGACGTTGCTTTCACCAGCAACACCAATGATTCATACAGCAGGAAGGTGTATAGAGAGCACACTTGGACTGGAGAGTACACCAACCTCTACAATTCGATGTCGCTACAGTACAAACGGAATCTAGTCCGTGCCTTCCGGGCACACAAAATTTGTACGCCGGTCATCGTCATCAAGGAATTACAGAGAATCATTTACTTTTGAAGAGTAAATGAATATCCGGATAAATTCATCCTCAAACATTTGAAAAACACAAGATATAACCACCGAGGATGAGTGTTCTGAAGAGCAAACGTTTTGTACATTTCCCTTTCATGGGCGGCAGTGCAGCTGATGCCGCTGTAAAAAAGACGTTTTCCTCGTTCAACCTACGTCACTCATTTATCGTACACGTTAGCTAGAGGTGGGGACACTATCTGTTGTGCCACAATGCACAAGAAGAACTAATGCAGAGACGCAAGCTGTCACCGGTAGCGGACGAACATCGTTCCGAAGAGTTACCAGCCGGCTATTGTGCCGCAAAAAGTTATATTATGACATGGAAATGAGATTGTGTTTGGAAGGGGAGGGACGAAGGAACTCGCAACCCTAACGTTACTGAAGTCGGCTATTAGGCATGTCAAAAACTGTATGCAGTCAAGCGTGTTTATCATCCTTCGGGCACCAACCATGGAGGCGAGAGACTCCAACCGAGGCCAACTTCGACGCGAGGGCCCTCATTTATTTTAACCATGTTGTTGGTTGGCCTCCCTTCCATTCACATCTTCGGCGCGCACACAACGCACCTCACGGGAGTCGATGTTCTGGGGTGCGCAACAAGTGGCCGAGCCATCGGAGCATGGTGCATAGATGACGGTGCTAAGTAATTCACTTCCTCTTCCCGTACCATAAACAATACGTCGAACACATTCATTGCTCACGCGGTGTTTCCAACAGATATGAGCCAAACTGCGAAGGCATCGACGGTTGAATGTAACTAACCTCTGCATCTGTCGATCTAATGCGTCTGGGTTCGCAACCGCAGAGCAAAGTCGGACTTATGGTCCTATTATAAATTCT